AGTCACTTCCTCACCGAGAGCTTCCAGAACTGTTAAGGCCTGGTCGCGCAGGCCTAGTGTGAGAGCAGTCATGGCCTGACTTTTATACCAGCCGTTCGCCTTCATAACAGCCTCGAACTGGATTTTGTAGGCTGACCAGGAAGAGGTCCCGTCGAACGGCGGCACTTTGAATCCACGTAGCGAAGGTGTTGTAGCTACTACGGGAGCTGTTGTTCCATCCCCAAGTTTGAGGTCGTCCAGCGTTTTCTTCACGTCAGCCATTACGTTGTCAACCCGATTGTTTACTTGGTTGATTCGGGTTTCGGCCTCCGACAGGCGGTTGTCATGTTGAGCAACCTTATCCTTCACCTCCCGTATCTCTTTTCCGAAGATAGCGTGAAGGTCCTTCATGAGGAGCATCTGCTCTTCCTTATCGCGTTGGAGTTGCTCTTCTAAACGACGGGCCTGTTCCTCCTGCCGGCGGGCCTGTTCCTCCTGTCCGCCCCCGCAGCTGCTGCAGCATCACCATCAGAGCACCTAAGTCAGGTGCCACAGACGTAGAAGCTGCTGACGGACCGGCTTCCGTGGCCGGCGGCTGGCCCTCAGACATCTGCGGCGTTGCACCACCAAATCTCCTCTGGTCCGTCTCCTGCTGGCGTTGACTTCGGGTACGGACACCCTCCGTTTCCTCCTTAGGTAAAATCGGCATTATTTTATCCCACTTCTGACACCAATTGTTACGAGCTTGAGGTTCGTGACAATAAAAATTGCCGATAAAATTACCTAAATTAACACTTTAATTTACTTTACACAATTAAAGTTAAAACACTAATAATTTAAACACACTAATTCACTTAATTCCACTCCGAAGCTTCGCTTGTTTCGCCCAAATCAACACTCTGCCTCGATCGCATCTTGCAGCGCCTATATATTTAAATTAGCAAAGAAATATCCAGAATGTTCAAGTAAACACGGGCAAGGTACCGAGCGTTCGAGTTTCGACTAGGCGCTGTCGGTTGAGTAATTTGTGATGTCATTTTCTCAATGCTCCCCTCGCTCTCGTTCCTGACACTAGATGGCGTTAGTGTATCGTTGACTGGAGCGCGTAACAGTATGTATTTAGAATGTCTTGCAAGTACACCGCCTAATCTTTTTATATAAATACTCTACACCCTAAGGTTGCCTGGAAGAGATCGCTTATAACGATAAGGCCGCCTTCTGTGTATCATCGTTTCATTTCTTCTTTTGTGTTGTACAATAAAGTATGTATCTATCTATCTATGCAAAATGGTATGTACTTAACAACAATACATTCATTTGTCGAATTAATGTACCAGCACAAGGTGCTTCAATATAGTATTTTAAACGATAATCGTATCAGGGCTCAACAAGCAATATCTCATAGTCCACTAACCTGGTAAAATTAGTAGTTCCTGGATTCGGAAACCTATGATAGGTCACCGTCATATCTTCAGCACGTGTTCTACCGCACTTGGCACATTTCCTATGGTTATTTTCAGACATACTTATAAACAAAGAACACACAAATCGAATAAAAACAGAAAACCTAACCTAACAAAGAAAACGTCCTTTCGTAAAAAAGCGCAAAACGTCCTTTCGTAAATAAATGTGATAGTGCACGATAGTCGCTAAACAATATGTACAAAACACAAAATTCACTCCAAGAACATAAACGCATATGCAGTTGAAATTACTAATAAATGCGGAGAGCTAATGTCACTCGATCAACACAATTACAGTAATGAATAAAATGGCCACTTGTTTGTTTCCTTGCTAAAACAGTCAGTGTGACCAGTATGCAAGCTACTGGTTATTTATTTTTTTCTATGGTATACATTAGCAATGCACACATCACAGAGCAGTGTTGCCGTTTTAGCGACTTTCTCGCTAGATCTAGCGGATTTTAATAATGTTTAGCGGATAAAAAAATCGTTTTAGAGAGAAATTATTATTTAGCGACTTCTAGCGACATTTGGACTTTTGAGATGGCAACTTTTTTTAATGAAGTAATTCATTTCAAATAAGTAATTTATCATATGTCCAATTTTGTAATCTACCGTTGGTAGCACTCTATCACAGATTACCCCCTAATAGATACCGCATCATGGAATATTTGTTCTGTTTTGATTTCACCGAATTCCGCGGCATGCATGAGTTGCGGGGGACGTGTCAAATGCGCTGTGATTGGATAATTCAAGGTTGAATTTAGAATGCTCCGAACCATAGTGATGGGACAGGGTTGGGACGTTGATCGATAAATTTGGGATTTATTCATTATTGATAAATAATTAAATTGATCAATTTTAATTTGAAATTAATTAAAAAATAAAACAATGTATACACATAAAACAATATATATATATATATATATATATATATATATTTGTACATGTAATATATATATATATATATATATATATATATATATATATATATATATATATATATATATATATATATATATATATATATATATATATTGTACATGTAATCTAATGATTTCTTAAATTTACGCGAACACTACACATTGAATAAATCTGTATATACGGATTTTATCGCGTTTAAATAACTTCTGGTCATGAGGGGGAGGGGGGAACTGAGATGTTTGACGTCTCAACGACATATTTAGCTCGGCTACCTTCAGTTTTTGATTATTGATTTTTGGATCTACATGGTCGAGGTGATCTATATAAAACGAGCTCACAATATCTTGAAGTCTTGTTTTGTGTGAAGCATTGTTTGATTAATACTGCATATTCTGCAGGCATGTTGTTATTTTCTAGTTTCCTAGTTACAATTGAGATGCAGTCTTCAGTAAGTAGGCATGTAAATAGTGACTGAACACCAAAACTGACCATAGTTTCATTGTCAGCGAGTTGTGGGTCTTTTAACTCACTAACAAAATGGTGTGAATCCTTTGTGTGTGGTCTGGTATGTCCTCTCGGTGGTGACCGTATTTTTGCCAAGTGCTGTACCTAAAAGTAGCATTATTAATTAATAAACCATACGTTACGTGTTTCAAATTTAGATGTACTTAATAATAATAAGATATTACTGAAGGTCATGTAACACTAGAATAACAATAATAACATTATAACTTTCACTTGTTTTACGATTTATAAATCCGTTAAAAATAGTTTAATCTCAACGTGTAACATTCGCCTAAATATTAGAATATCACGTTTCAATCAACCACTTAATGCTATCACTTATTGTGTAATTTACATTGGTACTATACTTTAAAAAAATGTAAAAGTCCATACTAAAACTGGCATGTATAGAGATGGTATAGCGGAATCCAACTGCCTTCTATAGTTTTTATATATGAAGATTGTCTTCTGTGAAGTGTCTTGAACATAACACACTGTTTTTGGTGGGAAACCTTGGTCTCCTCGACAAGTAGCGTCGATCCACATCTTTTTCCTTTCGGGGCATTTAGGAAACCTATAACATATAGGTATCACAATGATACACCACAATGTTTATAAAATAATGACTTTAAAAAATGTAAATGATGACCAAACAAATATCTACTTATAAATCACAACACTATCGATACACGTGCTGTCGTTAGACAAAGACAACTACTGTAATTTACGTAATGAGTGAAAGGTACATTTTAAAAAGACATCAACGGGTGCTTAATTGTTATCACTTTGCACCTTTAGATTACCAGTGTAAGTTGAACTCCAGTGCATTTGAAATAGGTTAAAGTGATAAGAATAGAATTTACTTACCGATGAAATGTTATGCCATTTTTTTGATAACTGAATGTCTAAGCTGACTTGCCACACGATTTTACTGCACAGGAAGCTATTTGTAATGTATTTTGGATACAAGACTATTTTAAATTTTCAAGAACTCGGACGTGCCTACGGGTCACATAATTGGTATACACTGATATCGTGATTCTTAGCGTTACTTCGTATGCTAGCTACAGCAAGCATGTGTTGCGCGCGTTTGTGGCCCTGTATGCGGAATCTATTAGGAGGTTATCTGTGCACTCTATATATATATATATATATATATATATATATATATATATATATATATATATATATAATTTCACGGGAATTCCCGAACATAAACCAACAATTCAATGTCGTTAATTCACTTTCTCTGTTTCGACCTGAGACAATGTTCTAAGGTTTCGACATACAAAAATGCAGCAGGAGTAAATATATCCGAAGATTTATGTAATTTTTCAATAGTAATATTATCACTACCGCACTCAAATGCAGAATTTGAACGCGTATTTGGTGCCATGAATGTAGTTAAAAGCAAACTGTGAAACAAGCAATCAGAAAAACCTTTAAATTCCATTCGTCTAATTAGAAATCAGTTAAGGATTAAAAAAGAATTGCGCAACGTACGATATTCACGAAGATCTTGTCAACCAAGTCGGTAAAGGTAAACCAAAGATGGGAGGGACTGGAGACATTGGCGAAGCTTCAACTTCCGCTGAAGTTCTTTTTGAAGATCTGGATCCATACTTCGCTATTGATTTTGAAATTTAGGTACAAGAACGTACTGAGCTAATTGTTTTATTTTTAGTAAGATGACTAATGTTTAAAGAGATTTATTTTTTTACAATATTTTTTATTTTGTACATGAATACTTTTTGTTTTGGTTGTCGTGTCATTAACCTACACTATATATAATTAATTTATATGAAATAGAGTCCGCCCTTTTTAAGGTTTTCTGAATGTATAGATTTAGATTTTCGGTATTCATTTTATATCATTTGGCAAGATTTTTAGTTAGACCAACGGTACCACGAAAATGTACCTAGGGACATCTAGCGGATTTTAAGAAAAAGAAAAATCCTGTTTCTGGCGGATTTTTTCTGTTAGTCTAGGGACTTTAAAATTTGTAGAACGGCAACCCTATCACAGAGTACCTTTGTATAAACTGAAAGTAGAGCCTGACCCTGGCTTACGACCCACGCACGTGAAAGGGACTTCGATTACCTCTCCTCCGGACATAGTTCTTATAGTTTAATGATGGCCGCGGATAAAATTTGCTGTGTTTCAGGATGTACTAAAAGCCGTGAGTAAATATAATTATTTACAGGTCCTACCATTCAATATATAGTCAGTGTAGGTAGTTCAAGAGTTCTGTACCTATCACTTTTCCACCCTTAGAGTCACTACTTTGCTATGTATACTTATAACACTTCTACTTATACTACTGTCATTACACTTCTAAAATATTAAAATTTTTGTGTAGGTGAGGATAGCTTTGTACTTCACAAATTTACAAATCCTACAAAAGATCCAACACGTTTTTTTACATGGGTTCAAGCAGTTGGTTAAAACCTTCTGTGCTTAGATGATATGTATGTATTTAAGTGCCGAAGAATTTGTCATACACATTTTGATTCCAAGTACTGGACCAGGAGTAAAATGTTAAGTAATATTGCAGTACAAACATTGCATATGAAAGGTTAGTAAGGATTTGCATTAACATTCTTGTAATGATCTATTCTTAATATTATGAATATGAATGTTAAAGTTAATATTTAAGTTTGTTCATCAAATAATTAATTTTACTATCAAACATGAACAATTGAATATATAAATGTTGATTCATTGTTAAACTATGTTCTGCAATACTAATTTTCAACTTCCATATTGACAAAATGTTATGTATGACATGCAAAGCAATTTTATTTCTGAATAACTATTTGATTCAAATGATAATAAAGGCTTATAAATTAAGGCTTTTATAAAGTTCATATGAATATGAAAATCTACACCAGTTCATAAATATTAAACTTTCTCAGAGTACAACTGGGAAGAAACATGAGTTTATGTTGCAATAACAAATATAGTGATCGAAAGATCTTTTTCGGTACTAATGACAACATATATCGCACCAACATATTCTAGAATATGTTTAATTATTTTTTAATCATATTGTCCTTTAGTCTCTATTTAAAGTTATGATGATCTTCAATTTGGTATCCCATTCTTTCACTTCATTCAATCTTAGAATATCATATTTAAAGTTTAGATGCCCAAATTTGTGCAGTATTCGTTTGTTTAAGAACAAAAAAGTTAGTATTTCATTTGGTCTTATTACTAAACTTAGTTTATCACAAAAAAAGTTACTTAATTTGCCTCAGTCTTTTTAAAATTTGATATTGCTGTAAGATCCATAATTTACATTATAGTTTGTATATTTTTCACAGGTGTTCTCTAATGCAACTAATACTATTAATAAACTTCAATTTTAATAAAATCTAATGTGTAACTATCAGCAGCTTGCTACTTGTGGTATTGGTTGTTTGATATTGTGTGTTGGAAGATGTTGGTAGTCCTTCAGTCTTAGTTGTTCATTTGCTACATGGGGGTTGCTAATATGTGTATGCTCTAATTTTTTGCTGATTGGTAGTAGAGAAACTAATCTTTGCAATGAACAAAACCAAACAGGTTAAATTTTTTATTAGAGCCGTTCAGTTCACATTTCTCATTGTACTATTGTTAAGTTGTCAATATATTTGAAGTATAATCTAATCATTCATTTTAAATTCTGATTTTACAGGTACTGTTGCTAAAAGGCCACCCTTAGCTGAAGTAACAAATAAAAATAATACTCTTAAAACAAGCAATACACAAGAAATTGCCTCAACATCAAGTTATGTGCAAGTGACAACTACTGCTCTAACATCCAGTAAGTTAAAATTTATTTTATTGTATAAATGAAAATGAAGATAATATATTGAAAATAATTTTATTTAAAAAAAATGTCCCACTGGGTTTTGTGCTGGTTCTGGTAAAGGTTTAGTATCAAGTCGCTTTAATAGACCCCCTATGTTGGGCGAGGGGAAGGGAGGTGGAGAGGGGTAGATTCGCCCCCCCTCCCACCTGTTCCCCCACTGGAGATGCATAGTATTTTTATATTAAATGTTAAAGATCAAAATTTTATCAAATTCTTTATAATAAAAATCACCTTAATAGGTAGTTGGGGGGTGGGGGGTGACCCCTCTTCACCGAAGCAGTACCAAAGTTTAGTTGATGGAGCCCCCGCTATTTCTGGGTGGTTTATGAAAAAATAACCACAAATCCTTCTAACCAAACCTATCTGAGTTGGTGTGCCTCAAGTCCCGAGCTTGCTTTGCTCACTCTTGTATGAAATAAAACACCAAAATGTTAACTTTAATAGTTACTTTAATAAGTAAACATATTTTATCACTTTTGCCATTATATTTCATAATAATTGGCCTGCACAAGTACTCCAATATTGCATCACTAAAATATGTTATTTTTGAATACTACCTGTGAGCATTCAATCTAAGTTTTTTCTAGGAATTCTGGTAATATAATGATTTCTTATGCTTACTCAAACACTGCACATTTAAATAATACTATTTTTTACGGATTTTATCGCATTTATTAACTTTTTTTATATACCCGACATTTCGAGCACTTTACAGCATCCATGGTCACGGGGGGGGGACTGAGATGTTCAATGTCCAGATATCATAGTTAACCGTGGTTACCATAGATTACAATTATTAATTTTTGTCCCGATCTATATATCTTCTGGTAATATTATTGTATTGTTATACTGTTATACCTTGTTGGATAGCTGAAGAAACGTAGATATTTTTAAGTACATCTGCAACATACCTGCCATACATTTTTTAAAATATTCCTCAAAGAAAAAATATTTTGTACAAATTTATTTCTTTTTTCAATTATCAATTGTCTACTACGATTGTTTATTTACCTAAAATCTTGGTTGAAACGTCGGAAATTAAAAAAAAAGTAAAAAAGTAGATTAAACGCGATAAAATCCGTAAATATAATGTTATTCAATAAGATCTTGGTGTTTAAAATAATAAAGCAACTTATCAAAGCTCTGTTGAAATATTTGATTTTCATTATGCCTCCTACTCAAATCAATTATAATTTTTGGTGATTTACCACATGAGTGTGTATTTTTATTAAAAGATAATGGTAGGTAATTCAGTGTATATTTTAGTAATGATTATTTTAGGGCCTAAGAATGTGTGCAAACCTTAAGACCTCTTTTCTTCTTGAACATTTCTTAAATGCCCTATTATATACACTTGATCTATATTCTTGAATCTGATAGCTCTTCTACATGATGGTAGAGGTGAGCGTTATTTAACGTAATCGGTTTCAGAAACTGCTTATGAGGCTGATAATCGTATACCCAATTTCACGGACAATAATGTAACAATAATTTTACGTACGCATTTGACACACACAACGACTGGCGCTACACTCTTATCTATGCTGGCGCACGCGTAAGGTAATTATAGGTACGTAATACGTTATACGACTCGCACAATGAGAGTAAACACATAGTACATTATAATATATACCTGGAATATTGGAGTTGTTGAACTAAACAGATGATTCATAAATATATTCTATATATAGTACAGCCCCGTCCCTGGTGTACTGATTATTTTTAACGAATTTTACAAGATCACATAATTCTGCAACTATATGCACAAAACTAGTTGCAGAATTATGTGATCAAAGGTAAATCATAAAAAAATAAAACTCAATTTAAAAATAATAATCATCTTTATTCAGGCAATTTACACACATAACCAGTAAAATCAATGAATTAAAAATTAAGCAATCTGCACAATTTTAGAAATAAATAAATAATTGTCTATCAATCAATACATTTCATCAAAGTAACAGTTTAAAAATAATAAATCCAACAGTCATTATAAGTATGCAGTAATAACAGTATATAAAATGAATTAATCAAAATAAAATAAAATGTAGTTTATATATAATAAAATGTATTTACCTAAGATCTTGGTATTTATAATAATAATGCAACTTATCTACTACACAATCATAAGAAAAATAAAATAAGATGCACAAATTACAAAACAATTAGTACAATAGACAAAAAATTAGCAATTTTTATAAAAATACTTAAATATCCAATATCTTGAAAACGGTTAAGATTGATGTATGGTGTTTCACAGTCGAAACAGTTGGTACTGATGCAAACTACAACCCCCTAAAGGATCTAGGTCAACTTAACCTTTAACCCTGTATATATATATTGCAGTATTTATCTATGTACTATGTTCCAAATTATGATTCAAAATATAATCAACTTGCTACAATTAAATTTTATTTTTACTAAATTATAGTACAAATTTTCTAGGTTGTCCTATATAAATATAATGTTATGTGATTTTAATTTCAGGCTTGAAGGTGACTAAGCCCAAAAGGACTCAATTTAGTACAAGAATTCCTGTGTTAAAAAAGAAACTTAAAAGCTTGAATATAGCAAATGAGAAATATACAAAAAGATTGAAAGAAGGCAATGAATCTATCAGTAAATACTACTTTCTTGAAAGCAATTTAAAGGATTACCTCAATGGCAACAATTTTTACGATGCTCCAATTTCGGGAATGTGGTAAACACAAAATGGACACATGATTCACACCTGATGAAAAAGTGATGGCATTGCATTTTTTTTAAATGTGGGCCAAGAGCCTACAGGATGCTGCAAAAGATATTTGTTCTGCCATCACTTTTCACCTTAAGCAGGATGGTCTCCAAGGCCAATATTAAGCCTGGTATAAATGAAAATATATTTTACCAACTTAAGAACCAAGCATCTAAAATGAAAGCCAATGATAAATTGTGTACACTGGTTTTTGATGAAATGGCCTTAACACCACATATTGATTATGACCGGAAAAATAACAGGATTACTGGTTTAGTTGACAATGGTGATGTAGTGAGGACAGAAATAGCTGATCATGTGCTAGTGTTTATGATTAGAGGTATTCTAAAAAACTATAAACAGATTGTAAGAACATAAAAATAAAATAAAAACTTATGATATTTCATTCATAAAATAAAATTTATTGTCAGTAAGTACACTTTATCAAGATCCATTAGAAATATCTATAGGCTATTCATAGTTTTTCCGATGTATCCAAGACACCTAAAAGGTGTTTGGTCAAGTCACAAATCAAATTTATGATATTTCTGACGGTCTTGTTGGTGTAGTGGTTATAAACCTGGTTGCTGATTATGAGGTCCTGGGTTCGAATCCCGCGTTGGGCCAAAATCAGTTGGGAAAGTTGGGATTTTCTGTCTAGAAATTTTTGTGTTTGTGCATACACTGTTTACCCTCACAGCAAATTGTGCATGACACCTTGTCAATATAATTTTTTTCTTGGAGATTCATTCCTTCTACAGCACTTGTCATTTTATTTAGGTATTTACTATTAACATGGCCCACTCGGCGATGCCAAGTGATCACTGAGGCAGACAAATTAGCCACCACAATATCAGGTACTATCAGAAACAGAAACTTTTTTATTTAATGTAGATTATAACAATACTTATTGAAAGTCACTTTTTTAATTTACCACTGGTTCGCAAGGAAAAACCTCTGTCCTGGGAAGAACCAGCAAGAAACCCAGCGGGACTATTTTTTTTCCAATAATAGGTTACAATCATATTTACAATTAATAACACAAAACAAATTAGAAATAGCTTGGTAGCTATCACCCTTCCCAGGGTTTATTATCATCCATAAATTCCTTAATATTATAATAACCCTTTTTATACAAACTTAGTTTAATAACATTTTTGACATTTGTGTATGACAAATTTTGTATATTTTCTGGGATTTTGTTGTAAAAGCGAATACATCGTATATCATATCAACTTATATCACTCCATTATTCAACACAGCTGTGGCCTCTAATTAACTATTTCTGTTGTATACTTCACAGCCATTTGTAGTAAACTGAACTGTATTACCAGATTTTATTAACTGGCTCACTGACAATATGTTTGTATTCAATCCTGGAGTGCATAATACTTCCTTGACTGATATTTCAAATTCACATTTATCGGTTTTTGTTACAATGGTCACATCTCCGGAACATAATACTTGCAACCTCTCGCTGTTACCAACACATATATCCTTCATTTTGCTTTCTCAATCCACTGTTTGTTAGCTGTTAGATGCATGCTCGCACCTGAATCCAATATTGAAATTTAAATGAATAATGTACCAGTCATATTTATTGAATTTGCCACTCAGAAATACTGCACTAAACGCATTACTTAGTTTACGTTGTATTTCTTTTATATTCGAACTGGTATTATCACTATTTGGACACTGATTCTTGTAATGACCAGGCTGTTTACATCGGTAGCATTTGACATGACTTTTAGCGCCGCCATTGAAATTTGTTTTCGTTGTATTCCGTTCGTTCGATTGGTATCTCTGCGCGTTGGCCATAGACAATTTATTATTTTTCTTATGTTGCTATTTCTGCGTGCCGCTTGCGAATGCACCACTAGCTTCATCGGATTGAGTGATCCATGAGTTTTGTTCTAATAGCGCCTGTTGTGATTTGTATGCCTGAATGTTCAATCGCCATTATCATGGGCATGAATTTTTCAGAAAGCCCCACTAACAATAAGCAACCGGTCCACTCATCACTGATATTAAATCCTGTCCCACTTAACTTTTGTCCTGTTTCGACTATTTGCGTTACATACGACTGCATGAAAACACAATTTTCTAGGCGAATCGATATCAAATTACGTAAAAGAGATATTCTTCGTGTTAACCCTGAATCATCAAATAATACCTTTAATTTGTTCCATAGCTACGCACTATCTATAGTGATTATTAGTTTTGCCTTGGTTCTCGCGTCGTCTGCGTCATCTATTATTTTCCCGGTGTCTGGCTTGACGCAGTGCAACTTATCCTCCAGGATCAGAAAATTCTCAAAATCCGTATGTGAATGTTATCCGTATGCGAGGCAGAAAATCCGTATAAATACAGATAAATCCGTATAGTTGACAACACTGCCATAGAGTATAATTTTATAACCAAAATAGAGTAATCAGTCGTTGAAATTACTTACAGCGCCACCTGCAGATTTGAACCTGTACTAGTGATTGTATCTACATAACCGTAAATCATATACATAGCATGCATAGGTACTATAGGCTATTTTTTTTAGATAAACAAAAATAAAAGTAAAATCAATAAACTTCATCATGAATAGATTCGAAATTAAATTCTCATAATGAAGTTTATTAATTTTTAACTAGACAGAGGGGAATTTAAAATTAAAATACGTTTTTAATCTATTGCTTTTTCTTTAATCTTTTCATATAGTAATTATATGCCATAACTCCATTTAAATCATCTTTATCTATGTCTATCCTCGTACGATTTTTACACCAAGTAAATAAAAGTAAATTACATGATACATCTTCTAATGTTTGTATAATCCATTTTTTATGTTCATTACAAGTAATAAAATTGTAATTAACTGCAACCGAAGATATAGTTTTAATTATAAGTCTTTATATTTTTGTCACATGTACAATTTCGGATAATATAAATAACAACATCTTGCAAAGGTTTGCGAAACAATTTATTAGATCAGTAGCAGAATATGTTAAACAACTTTTGTTTATGTGTTCTCTTAATGTTATATAGGAATGCCCCTTTTCTTTATTTAATAGATTTGTGTAACAAACACTACACCTTTTAAAATCTTTAGTTTTGATTTTCTTTAGAACATACCCTACCACATACCCATTGCAATTGTGCAAATACTTTTACATTCTTAATTTTTGTTTCTAAATCTATGAAGATGTCGTTACTAAATACTCATTATGTATTCATAATCAATTTGCGTTTTAGCAGCTTAATTTCACGTCTCAGAGGGACTTACAAAAAATATATTATTTAAAGATTCAAAAACAGTGCATAAATCCTGCTTACAATTTGAACCTTCGGAATGCAACCCGCTGATATTATTTATAAGTAAAGAGAAGACAGTTTCGAAACCAGCGCATGCGGGCGACACATTTCTATGCCCGTGGCTTCTAATGCTGCCAAAAAAATTTTCGAACGGATCCTAATTAAAATGCCTCATCCAAAGAGACGTCAAATCATGCTGTTTTTCTAATTGTTCAACAAGATATTCAATATTTTCGATTGACTGGATCCAATTTGTTATACTTGGAACAATGGAACAACTGCAGACTTTCCATTTTTAACAAATTCATTGTACGTAATACTTGCTTAGCATTACGCCAAACTTTTTTGTGAATAGATTTAGGTCGGACTGGACCTAGAAAAGCTTTCCCTGCTTTATTTTTTGAGTTTAGGTTACTGCCATTCAGCCATTTAGCCAAAAGTCGAACAGGTTGTCGAAGAATAATATTACGTCGGCTGTGTCTTGGAATTCTTTGTCAATTACTCCTTTGCCTGTAAAAATTAAAAGTAATGTGAAATGTCTCATGCGAAATAGAATGATTTATGAGCGACAATGTTTCCATAGTGAATTACCAAAATCAGATTAGAATAGAATGTTTTTTATTCAATATAGATTACAAGTAACTCTTATTGAAAGTCAATTTTTTTATGCGTTTAGTGCTGCTTATACACAGCCAAAGACAAGACTTTCTCTTTTTTTGTAAACCTCAGCCCCATTTACTTTTTTTGGTTTCACGGAACTGTATCATAACAAAAATTAAAGCAGCTGCAGAAAATGTTTTTACTGTCTTTTGCAACGTTGAATTTTTAGAAAGTTTCAGGGCTTTCTTCAACCTTGCCTCTACAGTCTTTAGTATGTTTCTGCTTGTACAGTTGTTTTTTTTTAACTAATGGTTTTCATCCAAGTGCTTAACATACAGAGGTTGTTTCATGGTTTTTCCTGTAAGTAACAAATATTTAATTATAAAAACTGTTCTTAACAAAATTTCTTCGAAAATATTTTGTTTAAGGCTACTTATTATAACAATTACTTAGATCACCCAAGTTGTCTCACAATATACCACCAGAACTGCCAATATGTGTTATGTTGTGAGTCAGACAAACTGAATCCCTTCAGTGGCTTGAAGAAATGTGTTGTGGATATTGCTGTGTGTCCTCGAATTTGTATTTAATTATAACTGTTTTAAATAACGTCATAATAGTCTATAATGCAGCTTGGTTATGTAAGGTGTTTTTGTAAAGTAACCTTAACTTACTAATTCATATTCAAATTAAATCTGAACTTGATTGTTGATTATGGTAGGGAGAAAAATTAATTTAAATTACTTACGTTTGAACAAAGGCAGACTTGTAGATAGATGAAATGTTCTACCCGTCAATCAATCATCATCAATCAAAATGTATGATCATCAAAAGTAGATGTAGATGCAACTCCTTGTTCAATATCATCAACTCGGTGTATACTAGTATTTGTGATATCTTGTAAAGGTGTATTTCTTACTGAAAATCCTAAAACAATATAATAGGTAAATGAGTATAATTGTACCCAGCTTTTTCCCCTTGGATTCACTTGTGTGGACGTGGGAAGTAAAATCTTTACATTGATAGATTCATTTATCATAAACTTATTATATTGTTTTGATAAGTTTTCTGATAATAAAGAATTGAAGTATGACCATTCCTTTTTCTCAGTTCCAAGAAGGGCAGATTCTGTCCTTCTTTGGAACCACCTCCCAAAATCAGGATCAAAGTTCAAGAATCACTATACTTTCAAAATAAAAGTTCAAGAGCTTTTATAAATAAATTGGTAGAATTGTCATCTTAGTAATAATTTATTTAATTGAGAAAGTAACATTTATTTTGGACGTGTAGTGACGGAGTAAGGTAATCTACTATTCCATATCAAAATAATGTTCCCATATCGAAACGATGTTGCTGCCTATCTTTTGTTTTACTTTTCAGCTGTCAATTCTTACAATACGCACAGGATGATATGGGGCTGTAGATATTCTTACTCTGAGAAAGGAATTTCTTACGACGCAGTTATGTGAGACTACAGATCAGGTGTCTTTTTTACCGTAAGGAAAAAATAGGGTACGAAGACTAACAAAGAAAGATACCCGGAGTGCTGCGTATATTTGAAGTGCCTCCGAAACCATGCTCAACTTCTTAACGTGCATTCAAGCACACATCTTTCTTCTTTATTTCTTTATCAGCCCTTAAGGGGAAATATAACCTCAAATGGCTTAGCAAGATCCTCCGTTATGCCGAAAGTATTGCAGCATTAATTTTGAAATAAATGTATGGTAAAGTTGAGGATTAATGTTAAGGTTTATGTTAGACGAAAACACGATTCCGTAAAATTTTCTCGATAGAAAAAAATCCAAAGTTACCTCCAAACTGAACAATAAACCGCTGTTATTCATAAAATACTTTAAATAAGATCATGAAACTTTGCATACTAACTGAACTAACCATAAAGCAGTGCTTACGAGGGTGGATTGAAAAGTACTCTGCCTAACACAGATCCATTCAATTCTAAAAATCAAATCTACCCACATTATTTAGTTCAGTTCAGACTAGTTCATTGTGTGAAGTTCGAAACGTGTGCGATAATTAGTTGTGATTTTATAAATTTATTAACAAAGTAATCGGACATAATTTCCGCGAATGGAGCAAATCGAGCAGCGTACCGTCATTAAGTACCTCCATAAGAAGGGGCTATCATCAAAAGCCATCCATGATGACATGGTCAGTACATTAGGCGATTATACTCTGTCATATTCATCCGTCAAAAAATGGATAGCAGAATTTAAGCGTAGTAGAGAGAGTGTGAAAGATGAACCCCGCTCTGGAAGGCCTTCGACGTCAACTACTGACGAAAATATTAAAAAAGTACTTGATTTAATAATGGGAGACCGCAGATTAAAAATTAGAGAGATAGCCGAGATTATAGGCATCTCTTATGAACGAACTCAAAACATCATTGTCAACGAGTTGGGTTTCCTCAAGGTGTCTGCGAGGTGGGTTCCGCGACTGCTTTCAGTTGAACAAAAAAAGGACGCGATTGACTATTTCACGCGACTGTTTGGAGTTATTTGAAGCCGATGCAGATGATTTTTTGAATCGTTTTGTTACTATGGACGAAACATGGGTTCATTACTGTACACCGGAAACAAAACAACAATCAAAACAGTGGAGAAGACCTGGTTCACCACCCCTAAAAAGGCTAAGTCGATTTTGTCGGCAAATAAGGTGATGGCTTCAGTATTCTGGGACTCGAAAGGTGTGATTATGATTGATTATCTTGAAAGAGGTCAGATTATAAACTCTGATTACTACTGCACCTCACTACGTCGTTTACGAGAGGAAATAAAAGAAAAACGTCGAGGAATGCTCAGAAGAAAAGTCCTGTTTCATCAAGATAACGCCCGTGTTCACACGTCAGTACAGTCAATGGCTGAAATTCACAACTGTGGCTTTGAACTGTTACCGCATCCGCCGTATTCACCTGATCTGACACCATCAGACTTCTTTCTGTTCCCTAACCTAAAAAAGCACTTGGGAGGTCAAAGATTTTCGACAAACGACGAGGTCAAAGCAGCTGTAGACGCATATTTTGACTCTAAGGAAGAATCATTTTTTTCAACGGTCTAAATGCTTGGAAGGGGAGGTGGCAAAAGTGTATTGAACTTGATGGTGATTATGTAGAAAAATAAAAATATAACTGATTTAGTATGTGTTTATTTTCTTGGTTAGGCCGAGTACTTTTCAATCCATCCTCGTATTTTATTTACTTTTTTTAAAATATCATTATTTTCACTGTAAAAAGAAATTACCTAAACTATTTATTTTATTTTTTTATTTATTTGCTTTTTCAGGGAAACATACAGTACAATAAAAAAATACATTATAAAACATATAAAAGTAATCCTAAAACCAATGAAGTTTCCACAGATATCTAAAACATATTAAAAGCTTGCAACCACAATATGTTTAAAGATTGAAAAAAAAATACCTAAATGGATTTATAATTAAACATTAAGTTCTAAGCATAAAATAAAAGTAATACAATACACACGACCTATAGTGAAGCTACCAATTATAAATTAAGTTTTACAATATTTTTTTTATAACTATTGTATTTAAGGTGAAAAATATCTAGTTCAATATCGGCGCGTAAGCTTGGTTCCTGTCGCTCCGCAGCATCTTATTTAAAGTATTTTATGAATAACAGCGGTTTATTGTTCAGTTTGGAGGTAACTTTGGATTTTTTTTCTATCGAGAAAATTTTACGGAATCGTGTTTTCGTCTAACATAAACCTTAACATTAATCCTCAACTTTACCATATATTTATTTCAAAATTAATGCTGCAATACTTTCGGCATAACGGAGGATCTTGCTAAGCCATTTGAGGTTATATTTCCCCTTAAAGTTCACCGTTGGATTCACACATAAACATCTAATAGCCTAAAACTACGCTGGTGGTGGCAAATGATATTAAGATCACTCAGGTACACATATGCATCTAAAATGATTTTGGAGAAATATATGGATTCAATGTGACTTCGAACCTGTGACCTCATGATCAGCAATCACGCTCACGACCACTAGACAATGAGACAGTCATTTATTCAATATAGATTGTTATTTATAATCTATATTAAATTTAAAAAAAATGAGAGCCATTGCCGGACGCCTGGCAGATGTGAAATATCAAAATTATTTAGTACAGGTAATATGCATGAGAGGATAGTTTACCACAGGAAATAAATATAGCATAATAAAAAATAAAATCTTACGAAATAAAAAAAATACTGTTTATGACCTCTCTCTACCTCTTATAATACCCATAAAGTTAAAGCTAATAATTAGGGAGTTATAATTTCCTCCAATTTCGTGGTTTTCACTGTCAACCTTGTTTAGAATTACGAAATACTTTGTGTGGCTACACCTGAAAATAAAGTAATTTGTATAAGGACATCAAGTTCATGCAATATCAAAAATAAAGTGTGTCTTGGGCAATATATGCAACTTCTGGTGAAAACTACAAAAAATATAGATTTAGTGAAATACCGTAATGAAAATGCATTACGTACAGTTAATAATGATGATTACCCTAATATCACAAACATATCCCATTGTCGGAATTGATCTAGACCTACCTAAATAACCTTTTGTTTTGTAGAGGACATAAACTTATTGCATTCAACAGTCCACATAAAAAATAGTTGTTACATAATATTTTCTAAATTACATTGAAAAAGGTGAAACATTTATATGGTCAATGCATAATGCATCGCCTTCTTAATAGACCATTATTATATTGACTTATGTCTAATGAGTGTTAGCAGATTCCCGGAACTAATTAGATATTATATAATTTTGTTTTTGAATATTATTTACAGTTTGTCACTTACTTAGTAATTGTTATTTTAATTTTTTTTGTACATGGGGAAATCCCTCTAAGATACTTGATGGCAGACAATGC